TTCCTGTTACATCTCACTGCCAGGGGCAGATCGTCTTTTAAGTAACATACATTTTGGTCAGTTTCTCACACCAAGCTATCGTATGGCTTCAGAAGAATTGAAATACACGCAAATCAAATGCACCACTTTTCAATCTCCATTTACTGCAATAGAACAACCAGCACATTATTAAAAATTCTTATTTTGTATTCCTCGGAAGTTGGAAGAAGTCATACAGGTTTGGAGTAGCATGAGGTTGAGGAAATAACAGAATTTTTGGGTTACTAATCCTGTAATAGTGAGGAAAATAGCTTTCAGATAGGGATGTTCAAGATAAACATAGTGTGAAAGTGTCTATAAAAGCTGACGAGAGATGCATGTGCAGGCGCGTGGCGTGAACCTCTCATGTGTAAGGAGCTGTGTCGTCATAGCCGAAGAGAGGCCTCGTTTGGCACTCACGCAGTCATTCTCCAAGCTCTTCAAAGACCTGGGCCTGTCTCCACGCGCAGTGAGCACAGCTTTCGGCGCCAGAGTCAACCTGGCCATCTGTCTACAGGTTGGGGCAAAAAATTTATTGCATCAACAGTGTCATGATGCAAGAACAGGGCCTTATTTTGATTTCTGTCTCCTTCCATCAGGGCACTGCTGGTCCAGACCCATCCACTGTTTATGTAGACATGAAGTCCCTCCGGCATGACAGGTATGTGTGAGATGAGCCCGCTACAGTCTGCTACATGCTTGCAGTGTGACATTGTCCTTCTTTCTCTGTCTTAGAGTGAGGCTGGTGGAGAGAGGAGCTCCTCAGAGTCTGCCGCTGATGGAGTCTGGGACTGTAAGGCCATCCTAGTTCTGTCCTACTTTATCTTACACTGTTATTAGAAGACATATCAGTCATCCCGTATTGTTTTCTCTGCCTTGCCTTAGATTCTTCCTGGAGTGAGAGTAATCATCGTGAACCCAGAGACAAGAGGACCATTAGGAGACTCTCATCTAGGCGAGGTGACCAAGCACACTTTCATTTGAGTACTAACACAAAAACAACTTGTTTCAGTGAGGTATAACTGTCCACGTCGGAAATCCCTCCATATACTCAGCAGGTTCTGTTTGACGGCTAACATCTTCATCGCTTTCGTGCCTTGTTTTCCAGATCTGGGTGTGCAGTCCTCATAATGCCAGTGGTTATTATACCATCTACGGTGAGGAGAGCCTGCAGGCAGACCACTTCAACACACGGCTGAGCTTTGGAGACACTGAAACGCTCTGGGCCAGAACTGGATATCTGGGATTTGTCAGGAGGACAGAGCTGCTGGATGCAAGTGGAGGTCTGTACTATATTACAGACTGATGATTATTGTGAAAGTATTATTGCAAAATGGATTGTTCAGACTCTGAATTTGGATTTGATAAACCATATTCGCAGCCTTCACTTGCCCTGCCAACATTTTACTGGCTCCAGCACAACAAACTATACATTTGTATGAATTTAAATTTTATCATTAAAATTGTCTTAATTATTTATGTATAATTTTATTTTTATAATCTATAATTAGATTTTTTATGTTTTGTTATACATTTGCATTCCAAAATTTGGCGTCAGCAAGTTTTTTTTATGGTTTATTCAGCAATAAAAACAGTCACAAAAGATTTCTGTTTCAAATAAGCCGTTTTCTTTTGAAATTCCTATTCATAAATGAATCCACAAAAATATTAAGCAGCAACTGTTTTCAACATTGATAATAAATATTTCTTGAGCAGCAGATTGCAATGCTTTCTGAAGGATCATGTGACATTGCCATGACAGGAATAAATTACTTAAATTATTAAAATAAATTTTTTTGTGTAATAATATTTCCCAATTAATAAAATAGCTTTTTTTTTTTAAGATCAAATAAAAGCAGCCTTGTTGATCATAATAAACTTCTTTCAAAAACATCAAAATTTACTGACCCTACACTTTGTAGAACAGTAGCGTACATTTTTTTTTACATATATAAGAAATTCCATCAAATGTTCAGTTTTCCTAACAAAACAATGCAATAACAGATGGATTTATAGTTTTTTTTTTTTTTATTATACAGGAAAATATTCACAACCAAATGTTTAAGTTTGCAAGGGATAAAAATGCACATACATGTTCAGACAATGTAGCGTATAGTACTGCTCCAAGAGACATTTTCTCACGCTCCTTTATTTTCCTCATCAGATCGCCACGATGCCCTGTTTGTGGTGGGTTCACTCGATGAAACACTGGAGTTGCGAGGTTTGCGTTATCATCCCATTGACATTGAGACCTCTGTGTCTCGGGCGCACCGCAGCATCGCTGAGAGGTGAGAACCTCAAGAACACTGACACTCCTGTCTGAACATATCAGTTTCTGATTACCAAGATTTCAAGTTTTGTTGTTACTATACTTTATACTTGTGTTTTTAAGTTCATGTCTCTGATTGGATCATATGCTTTATCTTACAGTGCCGTCTTTACATGGACCAACCTTCTGGTGGTTGTAGTGGAGCTCAGTGGATCTGAGCAGGAAGCTCTCGATTTGGTTCCCCTGGTCACTAATGTAGTCCTGAAAGAGCATCACCTCATAGTTGGTGTGGTGGTCATCGTGGACCCCGGCGTTATCCCTATCAACTCGCGGGGCGAGAAGCAGCGCATGCACCTGCGCGACTCCTTCCTGGCCGACCAGCTGGATCCCATCTACGTGGCGTACAACATGTGAGCGTGGACTAACGTGCTTAAAGCTCAACATGGCACCCAAAGAACCACTCACAACAAGCCGTTCCTCTGTGCCGTCAGCACGCAACATGGAGGAAGAAGCTGGCTAGTCCTCTTTCTGCCCCTGCGCTGAGCCTTGTACATATTTTTATGTTCTTTTTAATGTGATTGTGGCCTGTTCGACCAATGGCGGTCACCCGGCTCAAGCCATCCAACCTTCTCTGGACATCCAGGACGGTGGTGCTCTTCTTTTAGAACGTATTTCTGCCCTTTAAAACAGGTGAAACCACATCTTCGCCAGTTGCATTGACTTCGATGTCCAACTTCTGGTGCCACTTCAGATTTGCCTCTTCCATAGAGCAGCGCTTGTGCTCTTGCAGTTAGACCCGAGGGACTAACACTAAGCTTTTCTGCGCACTTTATCTCCTCTCGTGGCCAGAGGAGTGTCCTTCGGTTTTCATTCTGGAAGTGCTTAGTTTTATGGATCAACATTATCACCAGCAAAACAAACATATCTTCTTTTATTCAAAACTGCTAGTCATTTTAATGGTTTTAAAATGCGCCGCATTTTATTATTGCATGAACAGGTTTTTTTTTACGCACATTGCCAATTGTTACTGTAAGAACTGGAGTGAGGAGGGGTTTGTGACATTGTCCTCACTCAAAGCACAGCAATTTTAACACAATACATTCGTAACTTGACATCTATATGCATTAAGCATGTATATTGAGGGTGACAGAAATGTTTGGATATGAAGACAGTTCCATGCCTTATGAAACTTGTTTTTTAAATGTGTTTCTGTCTTTATTTTGATTCGAGGTGACTGGAAAGGTGAAGAGATGGAAGGTGTTTGTATTGTAGTGTCTCACTGGTGTTACTGTATAAACTAATGGACCCCGTTATCTGGTCCTCCAAAAAACTTGACTGATTTTTCATATTTGATGGCAGTTCTTAGCAGCGGTGACTCAAGGTCATGATGAGGAAACAATAAAAATCTTTTTACACATTACAACCGTCACACAAAATGGATTGTTTTCATTGTTTCTGGTAAGCCTGGGGTCGCCGAGTGGCAGACAGTGAACAACCCTTCAATGTTTTTTCAGTGTTTTGGATGTGTGTGTGTGTGTGTGAGAGAGAGAGAGTGTGCTAGAAAGCAAAAAGGGTGTTTTAACCGACATGGAAAAAGAGAATGTGAGCTAAGAGAGGAAATATCTTTTCTATCTTAATAAAATTACAGTAACATTTATTAGTACCTAACATGTTTATTTATGGCCTTAGTTAGATATCAAATTTGTATTTCTTCCTGCAGATTGTTTACATGTGAAATTCTGTGCAGCTCTTTTCTTTAACAATGCACACATTCTCATAACCTTTCTTTTTGTATTTGTAATTCAGTTCTTAATTGTCAAGATATTGAGTGTTGGTGCAAAATTCATAAAGTTTTATGTTAATTAAATTTATTGTCATCACTGCATCTTTTACTGTCTTTATTACTGTAACTTTATGTAAGCAATGTGCAAATAACAAACCTAAGAAGAGTGAACATCCCTTCAATGTTTTTTCAGTGTTTTGGATGTGTGTGTGTGTGAGAGAGAGAGAGTGTGCTAGAAAGCAAAAAGGGTGTTTTAACCGACATGGAAAAAGAGAATGTGAGCTAAGAGAGGAAATATCTTTTCTATCTTAATAAAATTACAGTAACATTTATTAGTACCTAACATGTTTATTTCAAAATGGCCTTAGATATCAAATTTGTATTTCTTCCTGCAGATTGTTTACATGTGAAATTCTGTGCAGCTCTTTTCTTTAACAATGCACACATTCTCATAACCTTTCTTTTTGTATTTGTAATTCAGTTCTTAATTGTCAAAATATTGAGTGTTGGTGCAAAATGCATAAAGTTTTATGTTAATTAAATTTATTGTCATCACTGCATCTTTTACTGTCTTTATTACTGTAACTTTATGTAAGCAATGTGCAAATAACAAACCTAAGAAGATTTAGTGCTCTTCCACATTGAAACAGCAATGAAAACAGTTCTAGTTCATTTATATTTAACCTATGTGCCGTGCTGAAAAATCTATCCACAATTTGTTTTAAGTTAATTGAAAGAAAATAAATCAATAAAAAGAATGAATCCAAGATTTACTGATAATATAGGATCAGTAATGAGGGTTAGCAAAACTACATCAGCGCAAATACTGAATTTAATTTATTTGAGCTGTTTTTAGGTTCTGAAATGACCATTATGCAGCACATGCTTGTCATTCAAAACAAGCTTACTGTAGGTATAAATACAGGGGCATATTAAGAAATTATATTTATGGCCTCAAATAATCCACACACACTTTTTCAGGAATAATCCACTTTTATTTACATGACATTTCATGAATCCAGGAATCATCAAATAAAATCATCAGGATACAAGCTCCTGAAAGCTTCAGGCTAAATTCAGATTTGTCCACCAGAGGTCACCATACCCTCTGATTCTTATTCATCACTTCAGCTCTTACGTCAATACAATCATAACACAAGCACACTCTGCTGTATATTTGAATTAGGCCTACTGACTGTATATACAAAATATCATTATGTATTTGCAAAATCATATTTAATCTGAGGTGATATTCATTTCACGCTCGATCCAATAATAGTGGCTGTAGACTTTCAAATAAACATTTGGTCGGTTAGGTTTTCCACAAGAAGTGGCCTTCACCCGAATTCCAATCAAAAAGTAGCGCTCCTCAATTTTGATATAGCAGTTCAGCGGTCCACCAAGATTTGTCTGCATGTTATGGCATAAACATACATGCACAATATATTATTATAAATAAATATATCAAATGATATAACAAATATTAATAGCTCAGGTAAGTGGCTTAACTCACTCCAAGAATAAACTATTTTGTAAAAAAAAAAAAAAAACTGAAATCAACCATTTTAAATGCTACAAGTGAACTTTGGCATTATGTACAGTATTAAAAATGGATATTTAAATTTGATATACCATTCAAATGTTTGGGGTCTGTAGGATTGTGTTAATGTTTTTGAAAGGAATTGTGTAATATTAATACAATTTAGAACCAGTTTTCTATTTTAATATATTTTAAAATGTAATTTAATCTTATGCCTGCAAAGCTGAATTTTCAGCAGTGTCTTCAGTGTCACACGATCCTTCAGAAATCAGGCTGATTTGGTGCTCAAGAAACATTTGAATTAATATCATAATTGAAAACAGTTATGTTAATTATTTTATTTTTTGTGAAACTGATTTTTACAGTCTTCTTTGATTAATAGAAAGTTAAAAGAAATAGAAAAGCATTTATTTGAAATGGTCATTGAAGACATTTACACAATTTTCTGACAAGATTTCGGTCACTTTCTTGTTGAATTAAAAAAATCTTACTGACACCAAAAATTTGAATGTAAAAATACGTGCAATTAAATCGTTAAAAAAAATCATCTGAACATCTCTTATGTCGACTGATAATATGGTACTAGGATACTATCCTATGCAATTCCAATGTAGAAGTAGTTCAATGTCTTTAACTACTTTATAAAGTTCATAAAGTTAAAGCACTAAGAAGTGTATTAACACATACCTCACATCCGTCAACGCCACCACCGAATTGACTAACACAAAGCATGTCTGCTGCCACAGTATAGTGTCTTCTTTGATTAATAGAAAGTTAAAAGAAATAGAAAAGCATTTATTTGAAATGGTCATTGAAGACATTTACACAATTTTCTGACAAGATTTCGGTCACTTTCTTGTTGAATTAAAAAAATCTTACTGACACCAAAAATTTGAATGTAAAAATACGTGCAATTAAATCGTTAAAAAAAATCATCTGAACATCTCTTATGTCGACTGATAATATGGTACTAGGATACTATCCTATGCAATTCCAATGTAGACGTAGTTCAATGTCTTTAACTACTTTATAAAGTTCATAAAGTTAAAGCACTAAGAAGTGCATTAACACATACCTCACATCCGTCAACGCCACCACCGAATTCACTAACACAAAGCATGTCTGCTGCCACAGTATAGTTCCAATACTCGGGCTTATTGCACAAGGACCGTGACATTAAATCCACTTTGGCCTCTTGCAGTACGCCAATATCATCTGATAAATGTAAAAATATAAAATATAATACAAACATCTTCAAGTCAGCTATTGTAAATAGCTGCAGCGTCAACTCACCACCAGGTTGAGCGTTGTATCCTGTGATGTGACACGATTCATATCTATGATCGGCAGTGTTTTCATCAGGCACACAGATGGGGTGGACAAACTCATTAAACTCAAAAGGGGTCGTCATTTCTAAAAGAGCTATATTGTACCGCAAAGTGACAGGATTGAATCGTTTGTGTTTAATAATTTTGGCGACTTCTGATTGCTGTGTGGATTTATCATTAACATCCAATCTATTGCTTCCTGCTCGGATCAAAAACTGGCTGTGGGAGGAAATGCAACAACATCATCAGAGGCAATACGCACATAAATACTGGCTGTTTAGGATTAAAGTGTACATATTACCTTTGTTGCTGCTCATTTACACATGAAGCTGCTGTCATTATCCAGTATCGGTGGAGGATAGCTCCACCGCAGACCTGAATGAACGGGGCAGATGAATTGGGCTGGTACTGTACAGACACCTGCCACGGCCACAAGCTCACTTTGACCTTCTGGCCTCCGATCATCCGTTTATCTCGACGTGCAACCACTCTCTCAGGCCTGTGTCCGCACAGATAATCTAGGAGATTGGTAAAAACACACAGTTAAGTTACTAAATTCGCTGAAAGTAGTGCAGTGATCTCATTGTTTATAAAGTTAAAGTTAAAACTCACGCTCTTCGGACGGAGTACTGATCGCGGCAAAATAAAAAATTACCCCCCACCCCAAAGCACACATAAAAATTAGAATTTTCATGCTAGGGCTCATCACGGAGACGTTTAGTTAATTTAAAGGAACAGGGTGCTTGACTGCCAAATAACGGTCAAATTTTGAATTCTATGACGTATGTCATTAAGTTTTGTGAAGCATAATATAACCGATAATGTAGTTCAGTGCCGTCAGCCGTAACCCCTAACCGAAAGCATTTTTTTCATAACCGGATTATTAAAAAAAAAAAAGAAACCCGCTGCCTGTTTATAACAATTTATGAACCGGTTCTTTTTAGTGAATCAAAAACGTACAACGATTACCAAATTAATATGAGCAAGTTCTTTTAACTGAATCACAAACATACACTGGGGCAAATGAAGTCTGATTCTTGAATGATTGTTTCTTATAAGACAGTTCTTTTTTATGAATCCCTCATGAAATAATTTGACTCACTTACTGAACCGCAAGTTATCGAGAGACTTAAACGACAATGATATGACATTATTTAAAGCTGCAGTCCGTAACTTTTTTTCTTTTTTAATTATGCAAAATCATTATTTGGGCAAATACCTAACCAGCCAGTGTTCAAAACTATCTCCTTACCTTTGCCCGATTCACAACGGTAAACTTGAAATAATTTTTTCTAGTGATGGGACGATTGATACCGAGGCTCCGATGCTCCGACGCAGTTTTCAAAGCACTATTGTATCACACACTGTGCCGATGCTTGTATCGAAATGACAATACCACGTGATTGATGACGTTTGAAGCTTCTAACGTCATGCAGTATCGGAAGTTCGGGACAGCTGGTTTGAAAAAAATCGGCGCTTCGCATGATTCTCGTGTTTGACTTTACATTGACTTGGTTGTGTGTGTGTGTGTGTGTTATTTGGGATTCAGTGAAATAGTTTAGAATAACCTCAACACCAGACAGAAACTGAATGCACGTCACACCTCTATTGCATTTTATCATGTTCTAGCTGGGGTCTCAGAGACCCCGAACAGCTCACCCAAAATATTTTTGCTACTACTCACGTCAATTATTAATTATAATCACACACTTGTATATTTTATATTATTGATCAATATGTGAATCCA